CCTATCTATATACATACATACACCAACCGCTAAGAATAGAATAGCGTGTCTGTACACTTGTCTCTTGGTGTGCGTTTCAGGCAGATACCATCAGATTCAGGCAAGAACCGCTTTCTCATTCGCCACTCCTTTCAAATTAAAAAATATATGTATATATATATATATATATATATATATATATATATATATATATATATTAGGCGAATTTAAAAGCTGTTATGAGCCAATTGAATAATCAAAGCTAACGACTCGGTGTCGAAGAATTTATAAGATAAAACCGTCTCTAATCCCCCAAACCCATCAATTTCGGAGCTCGTAAATAAATTCCTAAGTAAATTTCATACATCCTTTGTTCCAGTGTTCACATTTATATTACCTCCATAGCTCTGTGGAACAAGGTGTGTTTCACGCCCTCCCATTAAGTGCACTGACGTCGTTTGTAGGGTTCCGTACCCAAAGGATAAAACGGGACCGTATCTATCAGTTTGTTCGTCTGTCACCACGCTGTAACAACATGAGCGGCGGGAGTCGTGGGTTATTTATTTAAACTTTCTGCACAAAAATTTATGTACAAAGTCGGACTTGATGCCATCAGCATTATCTCCCAGTCAACCTTTTTATTACAAATTTACAATAAAAGAAAAAAAAAGCAATCATAAGATTTTTTAAGTATCTACATTACTTATTAATCCTACTAACAAAATGCTACACTAATAATATCACATAAAACTATACAATACCATACATATATATAAAATAAAGTAAAAATATTAATGCACAATACATACACAATATATACACACATGCATATATGGTTCGATTCCCACACGGGAAAAGTATTTGTGTGACCGACAGATACTTGTTAAGGGATTTGGGTGTTTGTTTCCGAGGACGGTTGCCCAACCCCACCTGGTTGGGATAAGGGGTTTTTTTTTTTTTTATGGGAAAAAAGCAGAACGGCTAAGAATCGACTTGCTTTTAAGAGAATGGCACGGAAGTACATTTTGGGGAATGCTGCCAGCAGTTTCATGGCATCATCAGATAAATATATATATATATATATATATATATATATATATATATCTAGTATATAGTCTTAAAATAAATAAATAAATATAGTCAATATTACTTCAGGCTTGATTTTTTTTTCGAAATCGTTGCAGCAAATAGATCACAAAAGGATTCGGTCTACTTCTAGATACGCATACGTAGGAATCCCCGGAAAACTGCAAGGTCAAGTCCCTGGACGGTTTATAAATTACCAACGGTCCGGAGCAGACGAAAGGTCGCGGAATGTAATTTGTCAACGCGGGGATTACCCCGGGACGGGACAGCGGCCTTCGAGCCGGGATTATGCTGACGCGGTAACACCTGGCCGGATTCGCGCTTGACGTGGGATTTCGCTGGTTATTTTGATTTATTAACAACCAGGCGTCATAATCATTTCACCCTAGGTGGGGCGAAGGCAAGTGGAAGATGATGAGTAACGGAAGAATAATCAACTTATTGCAACCTTATTGCTCCGGTGTTAAGAACATCCATGGGCTGTTATGATCAATTACCATCCGGTGGAAACCCTAGTCTGATATTGCACCCTCAAGATAAACCTAGCTTACATCCAGTTCTGAACAATAACGAATTTGTCATTGAATTGAATTTTAAAGAAACAAATAATTTCGTGGAACTACATACAGCATTTCAATTCTCAGTGCCAATTGGTAGACAGTCTTTCGAAGCAGACTGTAACAAAAAGTTAGCCAGTAAACATGCCAGACAGTTTAAAAATACATGTAATGATAAAAGCCTGTACATTAATGATAGGTATGCTGTTATTTAAGTTAAAGTATAAGCTATCATAACTGTAATGAAAATTCCGTTAATCATTATGAATATAGAGGTCATCTACATGTTTTAAGTATTAAATGGCCAGGCTTAATGACATCGGTCTTGGCCGTTTTCGAACGGCGTTGCTTAAAACACTGTAATATCGTTGTAATAATAGACCGACCGAGTAATTACAGGGATACAATGGTGGACAAACACCATTATTGCGTCATTATACGGCGGTCTAATTCTACGAAAGGTTAATTGAGAAACGCTTTGGACACCGAAAAATAAGTATTATGTATAAATGTTTGAAGACTGATACGAAATGTTTACAAAAAAAAAATTCAATTAAGCCCGACCAAAGTAACCGGTAGTAACTATTATATTATTTTCCGTTCAAAGGTGATGAAGGCTGATGTATCACAAGCCTGAAACGGTGATAGAGAACACTGTGAGGAAATCTGCATATTTTTAGATATAAAAGCTTCGAAGTTACGTGCGGTTATCCAAGCCGCGCGTAAAATGTCACTTAACTTTTCTTTTATTCAAACAATCTGTTTGATTGTTATCTTATGGCACTCCCGACGGAGCGCAAAGATACATTTGTTTGACCCATTAGCAAAAACAAAAAGAAATCAATAACGATTTATTGTATTTACACTTTTACTATTGTATAATTTACGCTATTGGTATAAACCAATCGCGTCAAGGCAGTCACTGTAAAAGTTTAAAGCCACACACTGCGCTCCTCAAACTTAAACTCGTCTCGACTGCTAATTTCTCTCGAGCCGCTCTCCTTCGGCGTTATGAAACAAGCCGCAACCCATTTTCCTTTGTGTATTTTAATAATCCGTGTACATTGATATTTTATTTGCCGCACCGTAAAAATTTCCGAGGCGCCGTAAAACTCCGAGACACGCCTCTTGTACACGATATCGTACTCCGATGGAAGACGTAAAATAATGTCTCTCTACTGTGTCGAGTTTTAAGTCGTAAAAATTCTCATCTGTGCCCCGTCTCCGGTGTTATATATTTATGATGAAATGACGCGCTCAAACACACTTTCCTTCTATGTTGAAATTACTTGGGCTGGCGGACTTCGGCTGACGTTAGATCAGATTGCTTTTATTTACACATTTGGAATAAATACTAACCTTGGTTTTATGTAAGATGTTATTAATATCATCTACCGTTCCTTCTAGTTTAGTTAGCTTATTTAGTCTCCACAATCAATTTGTAGCCGGGAAAGTAGACGCTCTGAAGACTTATATTCTCTACTCGATCTTACATTTTTGATATAATACATAATTCAAAAAAAAGTTTTTGTGTTTTTTTATTTCAACTAACAGAAGGGACGAGAAACTTACACGCAAGCTTTTTATGTGTCCCATTCACAAGGTATTTGCGACGGATGGCTGTTTACATTGGCAACAGTGTAGATCTATCGCTATATTGATGGACTCAATACACCAAATTGGCTGGAACTTTGACGGAGATCGACGAGTTCGCCTTGATCGATACGCGAGGATGTTACTATCGTTATAACAGATTGGATACATGAGCGATATTTCTCTCCAGTCGAAAAGTCGACTTCCTTTATAATACATTACTACTGATGAGTTGATTCTAGTTGAATTACGAATAAATAAATAAATGAAAGTCAGGCACGTAACTAAAGGAAATTGGTGGTGGTTTTATTTAGTTTTTTTTTTTTCTGATATAAGCTAAGATTTTCACTTCGTACTTATAATATAATTATGTGAATAAATCTCAAATGCGATGACTCCGTGGCGCAGATGTCAAGGTATTGGCTTCGGCGTCGGGGGTCGTGGGTTCGATTCCCACACGGGACAACTATTTGTGTGACCCACAGATAGTTGTTTCGCATCTGGGTGTTTGACCGCGTGAAATTTGTGTTCGTAAAACGTTCTTACAACACAGGATAATGATATCCTAAAGTAAGGGCAATGTTTTTAAAAAAGAAAAAAAAATACGGTTTGTATTTCATGTTCTTAAACATTTGTTTCTACGCGTAAAATTACCTCGGGACGTTTCTAACTATTTTTTTTAATCATGAAACCTACAATGACTCATCGATATGTGAATTGTTACCGATCAGGAATTTAATTAAGCTTACTCAAGTGCAAATTAAAGTTAAAGCAGACGTTGAGCCAGCAACGCTTTTGCTTTCGGTAAAATCGTTGCAAATTATTACCACAAAAGCTCTGCGGTGGTAATTATTATTTAATTCAACATCATAATTACAGTTTCAGAATCAATTAACTGTGGTGCGCACAAAGGGAGTTTCGTGTTTCGTATCGTTGTGAACGAAATGATATTCGCGGTGAATCTGATCGTGATTTAATCAAAAGCCCACATATTGCTACGGTATCTTGGAAAGCTAATGGGAAATACGCTACGTGAATTCTTTTTTACTGTTATTATTACACATATCGTAAATCAAGCAAACCGCCAATATCTTCAGTCTTACCTTAATAAAAAGCTAAACATTGTAACGGAGGGCGAGTTTTTGTTCAATCTCAATCCGATCCGTGATTTTTTTCACCGCTTTGTTAGAAAGGATCGTGGAATATTTTGTTTACAATTGCGCTACGAGCGTTGAATATTTAAATCTGCTTTTACCATGGGAAATTTAGGAACGCGTTGCTATTGTTTTGGAGTGAATCGTGAAACATGATTCCTTTTCCTTAAGAAATGAAAACATCACAAAATATTCTCTCAGCTAACACTCCAGTGTGATTACCATAACATTGTTACATATTTTGTAAGTCGTTGGTAGGTTGTTACTTTTTTTTTCACTCATAATAATCTACGAAAGTCAAAATTCATTGCCCGTCATAAAAGTTTGTTTGCGGCCTTTGTGTTATATTAAAAGTAGAACAATTTGTAATCAATTTACGATTTATTCATTTAACTTTACTTTCTAGTTAAGTCAAAATCTCTAGCTAGTTAAAATTAAACGGTGCTTATAATTCTTTAAATAAAAGGAAAACTGCTCTGTCTATGCGGCTTTTAACTCGTCAACGTTGGTCAAGGAAATGACGAATTAGGAAAAAAATTAAGAAATGTTAAAGTACTATTTTTGTAAATCATAAATGCGTTTATTTACGTTATTAACATATATTAATAGGTATTCGTTTACACGATAATTACATCCTCAACATCTGGTCGGTGCTCATTAGCATGACGTCTTTGTACGACCATCTGACGAGCAAGTCGGTGTCCAAGTAGGTGAGGTCGTCACGCTTCATCACCATATCGGACCTGTCCATCTCTTTCACCGTGTTCGACATTCCCATGTCCTTCCTGTACACCGTGACATCCGCGAACTTCATGTTACTCGTGTAGAAGCAGGTGACGTCGATGTCCCTGTCGAACGGGTAGCCGAGTGGCATGTTGTCGATGCAGGTGGTCCAGCGGCACACGCGGCGTTCCTTCATGATGCCAACATCGATGGTGGGCAAGACGTAGCCGCTGCGCACGGGAGTCACCATTACGAACAGTTGCAACTGGAGACCGCCGAGGTGGCCCAGGGGAAGGAGAAGCCTTTGCGGGAAGCCGAGACGTGCCTTGTACCACCAGTTCTCTACCAAACTGTCGCTGCTTATCGTGGAGGAGGCTGTGTCCGCGCGGAACGTGTTTCGCGTCCAGGGCCGGTCCGCGATGACGCCGTGCATGTCGTTGGAGTTGCGGACGATCGTATTCTTTCCAGTGTCGAGTTTGTACAGGAAACTGTCGATTTCGACCATGTCGAGGCGCTTATCGTTGACGCTGAGCAGGCGGCCCATGCAGTCGTATTTGGGACCGATGAAGACGCGGACGACCGCCTCGGTGGCCTTCTCGGAGGCCACGTCCAGGGTGAGCTTGAACGGTTGGTGATTGAGGCGACGCATGCGCGCCACGTACGTCATGTCGGAGCGTTTTTTGCCCATCTCGGCCTCGTCCAGGTACAGCGCGTTGGTGATGTCGACGTCGTATTCGTCCATGAACGTGACCAGCTTGTCGGTAACGACGCGCTCCACCTTCACCCCGGGGAAGTCGAGCTCATCGCGGGTGTACTTCGGCAGAAGCTTCTTGAAAAGAACGACGTTTTCGACGATGCGCTTCATCACTCTCCAGAAGAGCGGGTCACGTAAGCACGTGGTGTACATGTCAAGTGCAGTTGGCACGTAAGTGTATCTAGAAAGCATATACATAAATAATAAATTAAATAGAACGTTAGTTCATATTAAGTTATGTAAACGCTAGATTGATACCACACATCGAAAGATATCATTAGTAATTATAGCGGTTACTTCGGTTGAACAGATAAATAACTCACTTGTCAACGTTGTATAAACTGTATGATAGCACTTTCTTGATCAGGTTCGATACGTGGATGACCTTGGCGTCATCGTTCTGCATGCCCATTCCGCCTAAGATCAGTCTGCACAGGTATTCGACATCTTCGGGCTTCTTCAAATTGATGATGGTGCCATCACGCTAAACAAAAATGGTTACGTTAGACAAGAACTCAAACTCCTTTACAATATAATTTGTACGTCTTTTTTAATACTCACACGCATGATTTGTCCAGTCAGTATACCTTCGCGGATGATTTTCTCGATGTCGTCCAAAAGGATTTTATCCTTCAAGTTCTCTTTAGTGATTAGTTTGACGTTGTTCTGGCGCACGGGCATTTCTTCACCATTGTGAAGACGAATCTTGGGCCAGTAGCCATTCTGGACCTCGTCGTTCCACATCAACATCTTAATGTCGCACATGCCGTTACTTAGGCGTTCCAGTCTTAACCTGGCCAACAGCTGCTGGTAGGCGTACATAGTGACCTCGCCGCGACGCTCCTTTTGCAGACCGTAGGCGTCATCATTCATCCAATAGGGATAGTTCATGTGCAAGTAGTACATGTAAGTGTTCAGGTCGATGTCCTCGGTGAAGTAGGAAATTTTGTCGTCCTGGGACAACGTGTTGCGGACGGTCTTACGCCAATCGATGACGACCAGATTCTTGTCGGTCACCTGGATTCCGTAGTAGTTTTGGATGACGGGGTCTTTTGCGGCCCTGGACATCTTCATCATGAACGCCTTATTGATGATTTGGCTGTCCACGAAGAAGTAGGGGTAGATTTCGTAGGGCGCGGGGACGGCGATGCCGCGGCAGTCGGGCCTGTGGAAGACGGCGCAAGTCAGGGCGTAGACGAACATGCCGCCGTTGATGCGCTCCCTCAGCCAGCAAGCGGTCCTAATGAACGAGTCGAAGTCCTTCGCGAAGTACAGTAGGCGGAAGACCATGACCGCCTGCTCGATGTGCAGCTCGTTGGAGTGGACGAAGACTTCGCCCCGGGGGAGCAAGCCCATTTTGAACATGTTTATGAACTTCTTGACCGAATCCACTTGCTGAAAAAGCAGACAATTATGTTGTGAAGTGATTGGAAGAGTTTGAACATTTCAAGTTATTCAACGTATTTGAATTTCTTAATTGAAACGTCACAGATTAATTAGTATTCGATAATTGGAGTGCGTGTAATATAAATACGAATATACATCGATGATAGGTAAATCGTCTTTATATTATGATCATAATTATGTTTACTGTCTTTATTTTTTTCTTAATAAACTTAACTTTTAGTACTAATAATAGGTTATTGGAATTTATCTTTTTTATTTATTTATTTAGGATTTGGGAGACTTACGAGGTATTTGTCGAGGTTCTCTTCAAGCACATATTCGCGAGCGGTATCCTTAATGTCTTCGTACATGGTAGGCTGGAGAATGTGGTTTAGAAGTTTCTTGATGCACATTTCCTTAGACTTAACATCCAAGTTGACTGCAAATAAAATATGCTAAAGGGCAAATTTTATAAACCCTACAATAATTACTTGAATTATGTCTATGACTCATATTGATAATAAATTGAGTTTCAACACAAAGAAGATAGATATGTTCGATGTTATGTCATATATAACTTTATGTGTCACGAATACATAAAAAAACCATTAAAGTAGCAATTTGTTTTTTTATTAAAATATGAGCATCAAAAGAGCGTAAATTCTGACAAAACCAGGATACTTTCCAAACTTGTTCTGCGGTAACGAAGGAATATTTTGCTCAAAAACAGAAACTGATAAATCAATTTCAACACTCAGGCTTAGGGCAAAACTTTATTTCGCTGCTTTGTACGTACAAAACTTACGAAACAAAACTTTATATAAGACGAGAGTTTGAATTACTTAAGTCTATGGAACGGCCAAAATATTTCACTGGCCTCTCGAGCGAGTTTAAAAGTTTAGCAATAATTTTTATATCAATTTTATATACGCAGGATTATATATATATTGAAAGTCTGATGGCATACTAGTTATTTATACATAAGTTGCAGTCTGCGACTACCTTAGACAGGCAGGGTGCAAAACTTGATTACTTAGTGTCATTGCTTAAAACGCTTCGTTTTAAGTGCATCACATTTCTCCATTTACCCCCCCAGGTATAAAAAGACGTGAGAGTTTTTTTGCTGACATTAACTTGTTACATTTGGAATTAAATTTGGTGTTTTTTATTATCACTCACCTAAGCTGTCCTTCCCGATGAGGACGTTAAGGTCATCCCTCACCGCCGACGCGGTGGCCACCGCCACCACTGCCGCTAACCACACTAGCTTCATGCTGTCCTCGGTACTGTGCTCCCAGCATCCACCCCTCGCTCTTATATATTCGTCTCTCGACCGTTATCGTATTGTTTTGGCATCGGGACCTATGCACTAATGTGATAACCTGTCTTTCTCCGCGCAACATTTTCCGTCGCCCCTGTGTGAGTTTTTTTATTTGTGATGCTTCTGAATGCTCAATGCGTTATTGTTGGGATATCCATATCCTATATCTGCATGCATCGGACCCTTTGTGGTGTCGTATTAATGAATGCGTTTAGTATGTACTTTTATGTCAATGAACTATAAAAATGTTCCCCTTATTGATCTAATCAATCTTTTGTCCGTACTCAATGGCCAGTGCTGTATTGTAGTCCTTAAGATGTTCTTAGCTTAACCTAACGATGAGATCACCAGGTTTGTCTGTTCATTAATATAAAATTTCCACTTCTTGCTTGAATATGAAGTGCCGCGTTTGCAAAACAGAATTGTTATAAAACCGGCAAAGTGCGAGTCGAACTCGCGCAGTAAGGGTTGCGTACCATCTATACATATAATTAAAATGTAACTGATCGTTGTCTCTACACGGAACTTATTTAAGAAAGACTATTACTGGGGGGGCCTTTATAAACGCAGTATTTTTCTTATGTAACAAAGTGGCAAACAAGCTGACGGTTCACCTCATTTTAAGGGATAACCGCCTCGCATGGACATTTGCAACACCCGTAGGTTGCAAATGCGTTGCCACCTTTAATACAGTGGGCCCCTGCTACCCCACTCACCAGACGAAACGCAGAAGTGTAACACTTCTACTTCACGCCGGTCTACTGTGAGGTCGTGGTACTTCCCCGAACGGACCTGCCCATTCGTGCAACAGAATAGACTGATGCGTGGCCCTACCACAGTAACGCATTCCGAAAAATAATTATGCTATTCATAATATCATAGCTGAAAAAAAGCAAAACAAAATAAATGACATAACAGAAATAAGATAGTGCGGGGAGATCGATCGGAGCGATTGTTTACATTGGGACAGAACTACTTTGTTGCAAATTAGCTGTTGCCAAGGCCCACCGTCTTTCGCCGCCCTCCAAAAGCGAAAGAGCAAAAAAAAAAACTGTCGATAACGCTAACAATAAACAGGCAGATAGCGCCACAATGTTGCTTCTGTTTATACTTTGAGTGCAACGCATCATCTTGTATCCAATTGTGCATTTTCGAGACGACTGTCCAGTGGCTAATTCGCAGCTCGCTCGATACATTAATATTTATTTATTATATTATTTATTATTATATTATTTATTATATTATTAGATTAATCGGTCGGAGTCGACTTATGATACGATATATTACGATTTACGGTTCTTTCTATCTCTGTATTATTTGTCAAAGCAGTAAATACGCCATAACTTCCATAATTCTTCATAAAATGTAATAATACAAACACCGTTTTATAGGTATATTAAATAAAGTATAGTAATATAAGAGTAATTATAAAAAAAATAGACGAGTACAGTAAAGCTAATGTTTTCATAACTTTCGTTTATAAACTACACGTAAAGAATGTATTATTATTTCACCTACGGAAATTTATTTAACGACTGGTTTCAATATCAGTTGTGGATTTATTTTAGTGAAGATAGAATTTTGAAGTAATTCTTTTGCTGAACACACAAATCTGCTGTGCGCTGTGGTTTTTGCAGTATAAAAGTTGAAACTTTCGTATTGTCTTTGTAGAAAGGATACTATGTAGGGTGGCATCTCGGTAATATAACATTGTGTGTCAACACCTGCAACCCTCGGGAGTAGCAGAGGTCCATGGGTGGCGGTATTCACTTAACATCAGGTGAACTGCCTGCTTGCTTGGCAACTTTTTACATAAACAAAACAAAATCTGTTAAATAGTGTCATGTGACCAAATAGGTGTAAAACTTAACAATCATTAAATAAAACATATTTCAACGAAGATAACCTTTTTTTATGTATCTATCACACATTTATATACAATAGTGGTGGTTAGCAACCTTTAAATATTTGTAGCAACCATAATAAGCGTCTGCTAAGTAGAAATCGGTGACCGCAGAGACAATGCTCACGAAATGGGACTAAGCTTTCATTGTGCAATGGAGACGGAACGAGAAAAGTGAGGTGGGGTGATGAGAAATTGCTAATTTCACTGAGTCGTCAGAGGCGGCGCGAATTGTTGGAACTCGATATCTCATCGAGAGTGCTTCCATTGTTCCTGCGGTCACCTCGGTCAGGGGTGAAATGGGAAATACTGAAATCTCTCTTTTGTAATAACAGAAAGATTAGCAAAGTTCAACGTGAAGTTGAACTTTTTAGCCGATGACTCGTCGGTTTTGATATGTCGGGTTTTATGTTGTTCAATTATAAATATAAATATAATATAAATATTTTAGGACACATTTTTACACAACATTCTCTAGTCCCAAACTAAGCAAAGCTTGTACTGTGGGTACTAGAAAACTGATAAACATACTTAAACATACTTTTCTTTTGTAAATAAATACACATTATACATACATAAACACCCAGACACTAGAAAAACACTATGTTCATCACACAATATTTTTCCAGTAGTGGGGATCGAACCCACACCCTCTGGCGCATGAGGTAGGTACACTACCCACTACGCCTCCATTCGGGTCGTCAATTAACAAATGGGTTTTCTGGTTGCTAAAGAGAGAGACAAATAGAAAGAGAGAGATCTGTAATGGTTTCTCATTCTTTGTAGCGAGGACGTCTTTGCTCAGAATGTATATACTGTTACTTTACTTATCTTATTGGGAATGAGATGATCGCTCCTAAGCTTTGCTAAAAAAAATATGTATTGTATAACAATGTAATTGTTTGAGAAAAAAAATAATAGAAAAGAGGATACCTACGGAGTTTCTTCCGCCCGTTTCTTCTCCGTTAGAAGAACCTCACTACGAAACGATGGTAGATTTAAAAAAATGACTATCATTAGATGAAATATATATTTCTTATTTCGGTGAATAACTGATTTGATTTGACATCCTTTTGTCCACAGACCTTCCGGCATGGATTCCCCTTCTCGCCGACGGCGCTGGCATGGGACCCGATACAGAAACTACTCGCTATCGGCGACAAAGGCGGCAACCTCAGGATGTATCCTTTACTTAAGAAACGTAACACGTTTTATTTTAGCCTATAACGTCCCAACTGATAAGGTTGATACATGTCATCCAAATCTTCTTCGTGATAATCGTATTTTAAAAGCAGCATCGGCATGCTGTACAGTATGCTGTACAGTTTATCATTTACACCACCTACTATTGTCCAAATTAAATATTTTTAACCACAAGGTTGTCTGGAAGAGATCGCTCCTTAGCGATAAGACCGCCTTATTGTTTATACCTCTTAAGTTTATAGTTCTGTAACATTTCCTTTCATGTTTTTTTGGTGTTCAATAAAGAATATATAATAATGCACATAAGTTTATACATCACGTCGAAATATTCTTTGAAATGTTTCAGCATGCTGTTGCAGAATGCCCACTAGATGGCGCCAAGCGTTGCTTAAAAAATGTAATAGAGATAGGTCTAATCCCGCAGCGTCGAATGTTTTTTGAGAATTTATCTACAAATAATCCACAAGCATAAAATAGAACTGCTTATTGATTACCGAGTCATGTACGGAAAGAAAAATACATTACAGTACTCAACTTTATGATAAATTGCCAAAAAACATAAACGACTACCTGTTGATGCTTTCAAAATGAGATCGATGGTGTACCTAGTTAACTGTGGTAGGGCCACGCAACAGTGTTTGCTGTTGCACGAATGGGCAGGTCCGTCCGGGTTAGTATCGTGACCTCAAGAAGACCGGCGTGAAGTAGAAGTGTAAGACTTGTGCGTTTCATCTGGTGAGGCCGGGGCTCACTTTATTAAGAGGTCAAATCTCCGTGGGCGGCGGTTATCACTTAACATGAACATAGGTGAACCGCCAACTCGCTGGCCACATTAAAAAAAACCTAATTAATAACTGAAACTTTCACATAACTTTTGCATAACTATGGTAGATCGAATTCCGCTTTGTTGACAGCGTTTTCTTTTATTTTAAACAATTCAATTAAGTTTCTAGTCATTCAGTGAAATAGTATCTTTGTTTTTGTAAATAAAAAGTCCTTATACCGAAATTTTACCTTGTAAAAATATTACTATTCATAGAACATAGCTCCATGCTGAATAATAGCGACGGTTAGTAACAACACCCACTCGCTCCGATATCAGTTGACCCGGTCGATGACGTCATTTACAATTTAAATATACACAAATAAATGTCAACCATATAACTGCGGTAGCTCAGTGACCGGCGCGGTCAGCGGTGAAGGAAGATATCGTTTGGAAACCTGCATATTTTGGAAAAAAATCGAAAATATGTGAAGGCCGTTCAGTGGAAGCCTTTGCCCAGCATTGGGTCATGTATAAGCTGTTAATTTACTTGTGGGGAGTGCGTAAGCTGTTAATTTACTTATAACTTTTAGTAGAGAATTTATGAAAAATTAAAAAACGAAACAATAAAATACCTATTAAAATTAACAAAATTCCGTACTTTGCATTAAATAAATATTTATGAACAGTGTATAGAAATCTGTATATAATACGTAAAGAAACTCATTTCTAGCATACGTGTACGTGGAAATCTAATAGACATAAAATATATACCAATTTTATCTTCCGTCAGAGCGGGACACGTTTTTGTGGCGTAATTATTCATGACAAACAAACGCCCCTTTTCTGTCTACCTACGCTTGAAATTGCTAAGGTGTTTAATGCAATATACGTTATTGTTTTTGTTACATGGCTGATAGAATTCCATAATTTTGTCTTAATTATGGTAGTAAAAAATAAAATAAAATCGGTACATTAACACAACTTTATCTAGTCCCAATCTAAGCAAGCTTGTACTATGAACACTGGATAACTGATAAACATTTAGCGTGTTTGTATGCTGAAAAGGATATAACAATAGATTCACCAAGGATTGCTTCAAATGCTATCAAAACAATGTGGACGTTAAGATTTTCGTCGATGTGGCAATCAGCTGTTTAGTTTAGTGGCTAAAGCGTCAGGCCGCGAAAGCCGAAGACGTGGGTTCGATTCCCTCTCGCTCGATTCTTCACTATCGAACACGGCCCAAACGCCAATCGGGTAGTCAAAGGTTTATATTTCATGTATCATTAATCAAGTATACGTAAAAATGTGTTAACCAGTTACGTGTGTCTATATTTAACGGCGCGTCGAGATTTGGGCGAGGTCTTAACCAACAATGAACTACTGCTAGAGGATCATGATAGTACATGGAACCTAACCCAATGATTGTCCAAATCACGCTAGCAGAATTTGTTAATAACTCGTATATCCCGGCTCGCAAATTTGGAAGGTTTCAAGCTAAGCTCGGCGTGATATCCGCCCAATCCAAGCATAACAATTGCAAAAACAATACAGTATATAAAGATATTTCTAAATATTTTATTCGATACGATTCATTTTGTAATAAGCTGTCAGGAATATAATAAACAAATGGTCTAGAACATGTTATTCACATAAACATCGCATGTTTGCAGTCAGTGCTTTAAGTCTCACATGAAAACTACGTATGTGTTTGAACAAAGCGTTTGCTTGTGTACAACGACGTCGTGCACTATCCACTCCTAGTTTTCGAGACGTCTGCAAATACGCTGAGCGAAATCAAAATTTCCATACCTCCAGCGCAGGAGGAACGTTTGAATGGATATCATTCTGAACGCCAATCATTTTCTTTCTCATTGTTCAATTCGTCTCAATGTTAAATGAATAAAATATACAGGGAGATTTTTTGAGAAGTGCCCAAATTTACACAGGAGGTTCAGACTCGGTAGTATAATCGTTTATTGAAATAAAAAACAAAGTTTTTTTTTTTTTCAAAAAAAAAATGGCATTCTATTCCCTAAACAGAACGTGTTGACAATGCGGTAGTCATTCATAAATACCTAAATTTTTCTGTGCTTTTCTTTTATTGAGACACTAATTTATTAACCTCTTTTTAATCCAACATTTGCAACATTTAATCTATATAAACGTCCACATGCCATGGTGCCAAGATCGCTAGCTGCATTTCCTCGCTGCATAGTTAATCAAATCTAATTATATATTGCAAAAAAAAATTATTATCAATCGATTTAGACGAATATCTTACGAACGTGAACGATAATAAGCCGATTGTTTTCTTATTCAGACCCGTCGAGAGATGGACCGACAACAAACTCCACAATCATTATATTTAGAGAACCCCAGCCAGTAATGGATCCTACAGCTACGCTTGCGCACGTAGCCGCTACGAAATCCCATTAGCGAATCAATCACATGTCCGATACAAGCCCGGCGTCAATGGGACACCGCCACCAGCTAATACATTGTCCCTTTGTCACTGACCGCTTCTCCCTAGACATTCTCCCTCTATTGTTCCCTGCGCCCTCGTTTGTCGCCTTTGTGTGTCGAGTTTTCGTATCGATCAACCGGTTAAATCGCCTGGAAAAGTTAATTATGATTCCCTATTCATTTTAGGATGTGCGATTTTCGTAGAGGCATCACATCTAGCGGAATGGTGAAGTGACGACCTCTATATCTATGCTACGTTACTGACTTGTTTCGTTCACCATATTTTAAAAAATGCGTTGCCAACCTTTTCAGAAGTGGCTTTAAAAAGGCCGATTATTCAAATAGGTCATGCACTATACATTTTATATTTAATTGTGAGGAGTACCCTGATATGTCTCTGAAGTAAAAGGTCCAACAACAATTAAATTAATATGGGATCGCTTGGGTGCTAAATCGAACCCAATGCAAAAGTAATTTTCAAAATCGCTTCATAAATGGCGAAGTTCTGTTCTAAAAACATTAGAAAAAAATACAACCGAATAGAGAACGATTCTTTTTTGAAGTCGGTTGAGAACTGTCTGGAAGCGATAACCTGACAGTAAGTTCAAAAGTTAAAACTATTGCTATCCGATATGTCTCTACATGAAGCGCTGGTGTTTATGGCTTAAAATGCCCCGTAGCTCTAAATCTCGTTACCCCTGCTGTAAAAGCTGTGAACGCATGCGTTGGACAGTCCATTTCCGTTTAACTAACGCCATTTAATTCTCTATCACTGAGTGAACCACGCGTTCGGTAGTTTAGTTTGAATGTTGCATCTCATTTTGAGGTTATCCAGCCGGCTTTGGCAACTTATTCCGCGTGTACTTATGGTTACGCTTTTTGGCAGAGAGCCGGTGGCTCTGACATGAACTGACACGACCTGAATGTGTTGTTAGTTTTTCGTTTCGTCTGGAACGTTTTTAACGCAAATAAAACATGTTTTATTACGTTGACCAGGCATCTATTTTCTAGGTGAGCAAAAGAAAGAAGGCTAAACATACGTCTAAGAATTTGACAACCAAGCAAACGTATCATGAAATAAATTTGCACATGTAACCTACAGTCTATCTACCAATACTATATACTAGTACATCACTGCGGTTGTAGATGTCCATTGGCGAAAATTACTTAACGTCAGGTGAACCATCACTCTCGTTATCGCGTGGAAAATTTCTATAAAAACATGATGAATTCGCATAAGAAATCATTCGTACCTGGGAATTTTTCGAGTGCCCCTCTTCAATTTTCGCATGATAAATGATAAATGCGTCTTCGCGGTCCCATCCCGAGTAATCCGATGGGATGTCGGGCCCCGGCGTCTCCCTGTCGCTTTTCATTACGGACCAATGTCTGCCAGCCCGATGAAAGTCAAATCCACCCCTCATAAATCACAAAGATCGCGCCCGATCCGGATTCAAATTGAATTGCGCCAATTTCCACTATTTGTTCTGTCGATTAAGGGTGGCCATTCGGTTAGTGTATTCAAAGTTGGGGATTACTCGGTTTGCTACAATATCGAAAGGCATGAATAAAACACTTGACTGTGGCAGGGCCACGCATTACGGTGAAGTACCACTAAAAATAAAACCACTAAAAATTTCATTGGTACCGGGTCTTGGCGCTCCGGAAATACGAAGGGAACTCATAAAAATCAATAATAAAATTAATACAGAGCGAGATATGAAGTTGATACTCGAAGTCGGATAT